ATTCCACTATCAACATACTGCACTAGATTTTGTGCCCAGTCCGCCGGGTTTGAGGACCTTCTCCAAAGCGTTGCTCCCCTCCTCATACACAATAACTATTTGCGACAACAAAGGAGTCTCACTGGTTTGGGTTGTTCCAGCTGCCTACCTGATTACCTATCAATTTGTGTTAACTCTTTGTATGCTGCCTGTCCTGACCCTTGGTGGGGTTTTTGACCATAACTTGTCTGCTGCCTGCCCTGACAATTGTCATGTTTACTACTACTCTGTCTTCAGGTGCCCGGACTGCGGCCTGTCCCTGGTTTTGCGAACCTCTTAGAGGTTTGTTTCATTTCATGTTAATCAGAGCCTTTCTAAGGTCTGGTAATCATCATTCTATCCCTTTATCGTCACCTGCCATTAGGGGAATCACTTTTACCTAGTAAGTTTATTCTAACAATGTAGAAGTAGCGAGTTTACTTATAGTTACCAATAATGCTTCACTAATGCTTCAATAATGTTTACCAAGAGCCTTTTGGGTAAAATGCTATTACCTTTTTATTATTATTATCTTATATCTTCTTTTTTATAACAGGAAGTAAAATCTTCCCTAATAGGGAATTCACTAAACACCAAATTTGTCAAGTGAAAACAAAAAAGTGGCAATTCTCACATTTACTAAAGCCAAATCCAGTTGGGATTCAGTCATTCAGACTGAATCTGTACCAGAAATTCTGTGAGAGGCTTTCTGTGCCTGGTTCAGTGCATTTTGTACCCACTTAGAACATCAATAGAACATTATAGATCCAGGATATTTACAAAGTAAGTATGAATGAACCTAGACACCAATTAAAGGGTGCAGCTCCTCCAGTTGCTCTAAGAAACTCCAGCAAGACACAGCAGTGTGATATAAAATATGTATTGCTTATCTCTACAGCGATAATAAAAGAACTAAAAACAATGGTCCAAAGCATTTTTTCATGTATTTGGATTTCTTTAGGGACAAAATAAAGGAACACTATAGTGTTAGGAATACAAAGTATTCCCAATGCTATAGTGCCATAGTCATTGCCGTTTAGGTGATTGGGCCTACGTTGCCACTGTTAAAGGGATTCTATAGTGTAAGGAATACAAAGTTGTATTCCTTACACTATGGAGCCCTCTGGTCCCTCCCTCCCTCAGGCCCCCAGATCATAAAGGGTTAAAAAGCGTTTTAACACTTACCCAATTCCAACGCGATCTCCCTTGGCGCTGGGTTGGAGCTCGCCTCCTCCTACATCATCTGACAGGGGCACTTATGCGCGTGCGCACCAAGCACATTTGGCCCTCCCCATAGGAAAGCATTGCTTCAATGCTTTTCTATGAGGATTTTACTGACGCTGGATGCAGTGCTGTATTTAGGATCTGTGCTGCCCTAGGCATGAAAGAAAGACAGAGGCACACACATTCACTGACACACACACACTCACTGACAGACATGCACACACTCACTGACAGACACACACCCACAGACACACTGACAGACACACATGCTCAGTGGCGTCGCTAGGGGGGGCCACAGGGGGCCATGGCCCCCCTACATCATGTTGGGCCCCCCAAATACCAGCATCTTGCTGGCCATGTGCTTACATTCTATTCCCTCGGACTGTAACACTGTGTTACAGCCGGGGGAGGGAATGCAGTGCAGAGGAGCTCAGCTGGAACGGTGCTGGGGGTTGTCTGTGGCTGGAGGCTCCCCGGCACAGGCCCCGCCCCAAACGAAGCCCCGCCTCCTGCACATAAACCCCGCCCCCGCCTAAGCAGCAGACCTGCTGCTGCTGGAAAGGCCAGAAGATGGCTGTCTGACACCCATCAACAGGTAGGCTTGATATGCTCAGGTGTGTGTGTCTGTGTCTGTCTGTCTGTCTGTTAGTGAAGAAGCTTGTGTGTGTGTGTGTGTCTCTGTGTGTGTGTATGGACTCAGCAGTCTGTGTGTATGGACTCAGCAGTCTCTGGGTCTGTGTTTGTATGGACTCAGCGGTCTGTGTGTGTGTGTATGGACTCAGCAGTCTGTGTGTGTGTGTGTGTGAACTCAGCAGTGTGTATGTATGGACTCAGCAGTGTGTGTGTGAACTCAGCAGTGTGTGTGTGTATGAACTCAGCAGTCTGTGTTTATGGACTCAGCAATCTCTGTGTGTGTGAACTCAGCAGTCTCTGTGTACTCGTTTTCCTGGCACTATGTAGTTCTTAGGTCCCCCCACCCTCAAGGTCCCCCTCCTGCTGGGCTGAAGGGGTTAAAACCCCTTCAGCCACTTACCTTTCTCCAGCGCTGGGCTCCCTCAGCGCTGGGGAACTCTCCTCCTCCTGCCGACGTCAGCGCTGAATGCGAATGCGCGGCAATAGCCGCACGCGCATTCAGACCGCCTATAGGAAAGCATTAAGTAATGGACGTCTTCTCACTGTGATTTTCACAGTGAGAATCGCGGAAGTGGCCTCTAGTGGCTGTCAGTGAGACAGCCACTAGAGGTTGGATTAACCCTCAGTGCAAACATAGCAGTTTCTCTGAAACTGCTATGTTTTCAGCTGCAGGGTTAAAACTAGAGGGACCTGGCACCCAGACCACTTCATTGATCTGAAGTGGTCTGGGTGTATATAGTGGTCCTTTAACTGTTGGGTTGTATGTAGTAAAACAAAAACTATTACTAAAATGAAAGTAAAACAACAAAGGTGGAACAAATTAAAACCGGGCCCTAGAAATGTGACATTGACATAACACCGGGCAATACTTATGGATCATCTGACACCACTCACATTTTCCCACACACATTTACAGATTATTATTTTTTTAATTTAAATGTAAATCCACCCAACGTCCCTACTTTTGGGAGAGCTGGGTTTATTTTTTTTTTAGCTGGGGGTCCAGTGGGGCTGCTGGGTTGGCTGGTGGCTGGGCTGTTCAGCACGGGCAGGCAGGAATACAGGCAGGTGAGAGCTGAGAGCTCCATCGCGCGCCGCAGAGTAATTCCCGGAGTCATAATATGACGTCACTCCGGCTCCCGGGTTACTCTGCGGCATGTGAGGGAGCTGAGCAGGGAGAGCTCAGCTCCCTCACTTCCTGCTTTGTGCGCCCGCCTGCCGGCATTACTGCAGGGCATGCGAGGAAGCCAAGCAGTGAGCACTCACAGACCAGAGCTCCCTCACTGCCCGCTCCAGGCTAACATGCCATTTGCCTGGGCATTTAGTGGCGACGTTTTTTGCCTCCCCCTGGAAAGTGCCGCCCAAGGCAAATTCCTTGTTAGCCTCTCGGCAAATACAGCCCTGGCTGGCTGTATTCATGTCCTCATCCTCAAACATTGGTTAGCCACCAGGAAGTTCCTCTATTGGCTTTCTGATTGACAGTACCAGAGGCAGTCTTAGTCCTGCAATGTAGTTTTTGCAGTTTCTCAAAAACTGCAATGATTGACATTGCAAGACTAAGTGGGACAGTGGCACTGTAACTAGATCACATCAATGAGATTAAGTGGTCTGGGTGACTATCGTGTCCCTGTAAAAGAGGTGATTTAATCACCTTTCAGCCCTCACAATGCTGGTCTCCTCCAAGTAGCTCCTTGGCTGAGATCATAAATGTTATGCACCTCTAGTGGTTGTCATATTGACAGCTACTAGAGCAGGTTAATCCTGCAATGTTAACCCTGCAATGCAGGATTATAAGTGGAGGCATATGGCACCCAGAACACTTAATTGAGATGAAATAGTCTGGGTGCCTATAGTATTCTTTTACTAGGCAGTATGTACAATAAAAGAAACAGTGCCAACAAAAACCTTCTGCCGAAGTTTCCATTTAAAGGGACTCTCCAGTGCCAGGAAAACAATCTGTTTTTTTCTGGCACTGCAGGTCCCTTCTCCCTCCCACCTCCCAATCCCTGGTTGCTGAAGGGGTGAAAACCCCATCAGTGACTTACCTGAGACGCCCGCCGATGTCCCTTGGCGGTGGTTTTGGGTCGCCACCACTTCTCCCAGTCATTACGTTGGCCGGTGGGCGAGACTAATCCCGCCTGCCGCGGAGACCTAATGTGCATGCGCGGCAATGCTGCGCATGCGCGTTAGAGCTCTCCATAGGAAAGCATTGAAAATGCTTTTCAATGCTTTCCTATGGGGAATTGAGCGACGCTGGAGGTCCTCACACAGCATGAGGACGTCCAGCGATGCTCTAGCACAGGACAAGGAAGTGCTATGGACAAGGAAGTGCCCTCTCATGGCCGTCTAGTAGACAGCCACTAAAGGTGGAGTTAACCCTGCAAGGTAATTATTGCAGTTTATAAAAAAACTGCAATAATTACACTTGCAGGGTTAAGGGTAGTGGGAGTTGGCACCCAAACCACTCCAATGGGCAGAAGTGGTCTGGGTGCCTGGAGTGTCCCTTTAAACAGCAACCACTTTTCACCCTACTCCTCATTGGGGAATCACATTCAACCAACCACACACACACACTATCACACTCAGCCAACGCCTTACATCCAAATCTCTCTCAGCCAACTCCACACATATATACCACACTCATAGATCCCCCACACAATTACACAGCCATCACATATATTCCACTCAAGTATATTGTTTAGGGGGGAGCAAAAAGGGAGAACAAGTGGGGCCATTTTTGTATTCTTTCCCATGGGTCCCAGTGTTCTGGTATTTTTAAGGCCCCACCTGGAGTTCCAGCACATGTTAGTCCCCCCTAACAACACTCTGCGTTGTATTGCTTTAAGACTATTTAGAGTGATTTAATCATAATTAAATAACGTATAAAATAACCAAGAAGGAAATTTACGCCGCGCAGCAATTTAATTTTTTTTTCATAGCCCTAAAAAAACATCAGAGATGGGTGTGGGCTGAAGGCATGATGGCGTGAGCAGGATCAGGGTGACAATCATCTTTACGCAGCGAACAGCTGGGAATCTCCAAGGATTGGGAGGATGAGCTGAAAGGGATTAATGTTGTGATTAATACAAAGAGAGAGACCTGGTGTGGTAGAAAGGACACAGAGAATGAACGAAGGAACGAGAAGAAAAGAAAATACCAAGGTCCAATTACACAGCAAGCTCCAGAACATCAAGCAGAAGGAAGTGAGATGATTATAAACATAATTAGAGAATGATAAACGAAGATTGGCATCAAAGGAAAAATTGAACTGTTGGACTATTAGGATAAAGACTATAAAAAAATAAAGAAGAAAAAAAGAGAAACAACACTGGACCCTCTAACTCAACTCAATATCTATCTGAAGCAAAGCAGTCGCTTCTACGGTGAGACAGGAGAACATTATCACTCTTTGACATCATCAAAGTACCACCTAGATTCCCAGTAGAGTTCTGCTCCAATAACATCCTGCTACCCTCTGGCATAGGGATTCCCAATATCCTATCATTTAAACCAGTTGCAGAACATTTAATTCTGCCTCTGCTATTTCCCTCCAGCTGCTTCACATTATACCCTGCTGTTATCACTTCCCAGAAAAGAGACACAGGGCTGCTCTCGCTCAAACTGCTGTTAAACTCTAATTCCCATTATGTACAGCCAACCAAAGACTGCATACGTGTAAAGGATTTTGACTAACGGTTGCAGGGACACATACGTCTCATCTTTGCCCTAGAGCAGGTGTGCTCAAAAGGTAGATCCCCAGATGTTCTAGAACTACAAATCCCATGATTCTTTGCATGCCTTTAGAATAACAAAGCATCATGGAAGCTGTAGCTTTAAAACATCGGGGAATCTACCTTTTGGGCACCACTGCCCTAGAGCATAGGATTTCAGGATGCAATAGCAGTACGTTATCAAGATTCTCCTAATTCACAGGTGATTTGTAGAACAGTACCATATGTTTCCACCACTAATACACTTGTGCTTATGTGTAACTAAAACTGCACTTGTGTTTGATTTCCAGCTAGGTATCTGGAAGCCAATCCAAGTAGTGGTTCCCAAAGCAGTCATATTCTCTAAACAATTCTGGATTGAGATTTTTTTTCTAGTTCTGTTTTAATGGAGGTTACTGATAAAGCCTGGACCTTTAGAAGTGCTCGGTGATCTCTTTGGCTAACAGTGTTCTAGAACACAAATGGTTATCTGTCAGCATTTCAATTACTGTCATATGTGTAAGCCAAGATAAAACAGGCTTCCTGTGCGTCATTGGATTAATTGTCTATAGCAGCTCAAGAACCAAAGAGGGCTTTAGATTATTTAATACCATAATTATGTATAAACTTGATGTTGTATGATAGTACCGTTTGGCGATTTATCAAAGCAAAAGCAAATGCTACACTGGGGCAAAGTGCTAAATAAGAAGCAGTTGCCATGGAAACCAATATAATCTTTGTCAACATTCAACAAAGGCACCTAAAATAGCACCGGCTTTGCCTTGATAACTCTCTCCCCATGTGTTTTAAATGAACAGCGGACAGATTTAACTATACTGCAACACATGCTTTATATAATGTATTTGGTGTTTAGAAGTGTTAGTGGGAAGATTGAGATTCATCTATTTCATCTTGAAAATTAAGTTTTCTTTTTATATTCTGTAATTAAAGGAAGGCTTTGATACTAGTGTTTCCAAGGCAGTAAAAAGGTAACTTGCAAGTTCGGCAAGTAAAATAAGTAACCACCTGACTTGCTGATAATAGACTTTATATGTCAGATGGATGCTGCAAAGCTTTGACGGTATTCTCCATAACAATTTATGTATTGGATGAGAATACTGGATTTTAAACGTCATCATTTGATTTAATAAATTGAATTGGAATGGGCAATATAGTCTGCCAAGTGGTAGCTTATGACTCCCAGGAGGCAAAGCCAGTCCGTGTCTACATTTTATGTAGGGCTGCGCTAGCATTAAGTTTCTGAAGATGTAAAATCCCTATCATTTCAGAGATGTCCCGGGAGCAGATGGAAGGAGTGGTCCGCACGGTGGAAACCCTTCTTGGAGAAGCAGAGACCCTGAGAGCCCGATGTCAGCGGCAAAGCGATGAGGTGCGTCAGCTCTGTGAAGACCTTCGCAATGAGAACAGAGAGCTCACAGAACGCTTCGGCCAGGCGGAAAAAGATCTGGTTGAGGTGAAACGCTGTGTCAATGAGCTGATGGACACAAAAGTGGCGTTCGAAGTCCGCGAGAGGCAGGTGCGAAAGCTGAGCAAACAGCTGTAAGACCACCAACGGACTATGATTCATACCAGTTTGATAGGGAAGCAATTAGCTATAAAACATGCTATTCACCTCTCTCCATTGAAGCTATGAGGCCATGTCAGTAATTCTTTTTATGGTATCAGATGTTCCCCAATGCTGTACAGTATACATTCTTTTAGCAATGTTCCCTCTATTCTAATTACTTTAGACTCCCTAACACCTCATCCACTTCTCACCCCTACTGACCTCCCTCATAATTTGCACTGTGGTGGATACATGCACCGGCAGTAAAAAAGGATTATTAACAAGAGAAACCTGGGCATTATTTTCTTAGCAAAAAGCTGAAATAAAAGTTTGTTCTGTTTTTTTCCTATGTCTGTTACTATGTAGTGCAAGGAGACAAGCATGCAGATATCACATTATACAGACAAATTCCCACCAAGTCCAGAATCTCCACACTCTTCTACAAAGACCGATCCACTCTCTGGATAACACAGGAACAAGCCTCACTGGTACATGGAATACCCATTACATTCCATAATATCTGTTATAAGAGATGCGGAACGAGTTGGAGGCTATTTTGAAACATTTTAAAGGGACACTATAGTCACTTAAGCTCAATGAAGTGGTCTGGGTGCCAGGTCACCCAGGTTTTAACCATTTACATGTAAACATAGCAGTTTCAGAGAAACTGCCATGTTTACATTGCAGGGTTAATCCAGCCTCTAATCCCCTTCAGCGCCAAGGGAGGGGGACCCTGAGGGTGGGGGTCCCAAGGATGATATAGTGTCAGGAAAACAAGTTTGTTTTCCTGACACTATAGTGATCCTTTAAGTAAAATCAAGATTGTCGCTTAGTCTTGTTTTAGATTTATGTTCCAATTAAAGTATTTAATTTACAACAAAAAAAACCCTACAAATTCTAACCTCAGTTACTATGGTTTCAATTTAAACTACAGATAATTAATTGCTATGAAGCTATTACATTTATACATCAACAATTCTTAAAGAAGATGGACAGATAGAATTGGATGTACTTGTCCATCTAGGGACAAATGACTTGGCTTGCAATGAGGTTTCAGAGGTTAAGGAAGTTTTTAGTGTTTTTGCCAATGATATACGGCAGGTTGCTTGCACACTGTCATTCTCTGAAGTTCTGCCTGTGCATAACACTCAGAATGACAGGTGGATGCATATTATGGACTTTAACTTGTGGCTTGGTGAATGGTGTCGGGAGCAAGGATTTGGCTTTATTTCTCATGGTAGCTCTGTTTGGAATGGAAACAAACTGTACAAAAAAGATGGTTTGCATCTTTCTCAAAAGGGAACAAATGTTCTCAGTGAGCAGTTCAGAGGTTTTGCTATGATGTATTCAAACTGAGGTGGGGGGCAAAAGGGTGATAAAACATCAATCCAATTGCCCCCAAAACAAGGACAGAAGGTGCCTGTAGCGTGTTAAAAAATGATAAGCTTAGAGTCATGTCTACAAATGCTTGCAGTTTAGGGAATAGGATCCATGAACTTGTGGCAATAATGGCAACTGATAATGTAGATTTAGTCGCTGTTACTGAGACATGGTATAATGAGAAAAATGACTGGGACATAGCAATACCAGTGTACTCTTTATATAGAAAAGACAGGGAAGGCAAGAAAGGGGAGGGGTGGCCCTGTATGTAAAAGATAGCATAAATTCTAGCCTAATAAAAGTTAGTGAGGCGAACATAGAGTCCGTTTGGGTTACGTTAGAATTTGGTAATCACACAGTAACTCGTGTAGGTGTGATTTATAGTCCCCCAGGACAAATAGAAGAGTTAGATAATCTACTAGTTGAGAAAATAGCTAAAATGACAATAAAGGGGGAAGTTATCATCATGGGTGACTTTAATCTTCCTAGTGTGAATTGGAAAACCAAAATAGCTGCTTGTGCCAGGAGCACACATATTCTAAACTCCCTACTGGGATTGTCTCTAAAACAAGTCGTTGAAGAGCCACCTCGTAAAGAGGCCATACTAGATTTAGTGTTAACAAATGGAGATTTGGTATCAGATATTACTGTAGGTGAAAGTTTCGGATCCAGTGATCATCAGTCAGTGTGGTTTAATATAAGAACAGTGACTGAGTCACACCACACAAAAACAAAAGTTTTAGACTTTAGAAAAACAGACTTTTCTAAAATGTGTAAAGGAGTCATTATCAGACTGGAGCAATTTAAATGGAGTCCAAGAGAAATGGGATTATTTAAAAGTTGCACTGCTGAAGGCAACAGAAAATTGCATTATGCTTGTCAGTAAAAGCTAAAAATTCAAGAAACCACTGTGGTACTCCGCAGATGTGGCCAAAATAGTAAAAAAAACAAAAAGTTAGCATTTAGTAATTATAAAAAAAAACCAGAGTGAGGAAGACAGAATGATCTATAAGATTAGGCAGAAAGAGGCTAAGCAAGTTATAATAGCTTCCAAATCACATACAGAAGAGAAAATAGCACAGTCAGTAAAAAAAGGGGACAAAACATTTTTTAGATACATAAATGAGAAAAGGAAAGTAAAACAAGGCTTAGTTAGATTAAAAACAAAAGAATGAAGGTATGCAGAAGAGGATAAAAGGTCTAGCTGACTGCCTCAATAAATATGTGTTCAGTATTTACAAATGAAAATGAAGGAAAGGGACCTCAGTTAGGAAAAAGGACAAATGAATTTATTTCACATGAGTTTACAGAGGAAGAGGTTCTATTTCAACTGTCAAAAGTAAAGACAAATAAGTCAATGGGACCTGATGGAATACACCCAAAGTTATTAAAAGAGCTTAGTGGTGTACTAGCAAAACCATTAACAGATTTATTTAACCGATCATTAACAGGAGTAGTCCCAGTCCCAAGTTAGCGAATGTTGTGCCCATTCACAAGAAAGGTAGTAGGGAAGAGTCGGGCAACTATAGGCCAGTAAGCCTTACTTCAGTAGTGGGGAAAGTAATGGAAACCATGTTAAAGGATAGGATTGTTGAACATCTAAAAACACATGGATTTCAAGATCAGAGACAACATGGGTTTACTTCAGGAAGATCATGCCAAGCTAATCTTATTGATTTTTTTTGATTGGGTAACTAAAATAATATGTCAGGGTGGTGCAGTAGACCAGGGGCCCTCAAGCTCCGGCCCCCCAGATGTTGCTGAACTACAACTCCCATGATCCCATGAGTTTGAGGACCCCTGCAGTAGACATTGCTTACCTATATTTCAGTAAGGCTTTTGACACTGTTGCACATAGAAGGCTTATCAATAAATTGCAATCTTTAAGTTTGGATTACAATATTGTTGAATGGGTAAGGCAGTGGCTGAGTGACAGGCAACAGAGGGTTGTAGTGAATGGAGTATATTCGAAGCTTAGGCTTGTCACCAGTGGGGTACCTCAGGGATCTGTACTTGGACCCATTCTCTTTAATATTTTTTATCAGTGATATTGCAGAAGGTCTTGATGGTAAGGTATGTCTTTTTGCTGATGATACTAAGATATGTAACAGGGTTGATGTTCCAGGAGGGATATGGCAAATGATTTAGGTAAACTAGAAAAATGGTCAGAGTTGTGGCAACTGACATTTAATGTGGGTAAGTGCAAGATAATGCATCTTGGACGTAAAAACCCAAGGGCAGAGTACAGAATATTTGATAGAGTCCTAACCTCAACATCTGAGGAAAGGGATTTAGGGGTGATTATTTCTGATGACTTAAAGGTAGGCAGATAATGTAACAGAGCAGCAGGAAATGCTAACAGAATGCTTGGTTGTATAGGGATAGGTATTAGCAGTAGAAAGAGGGAAGTGTTCATGCCATTGTACAGAACACTGGTGAGACCTCACTTGGATTATTGTACGCAGTACTGGAGACCGTATCTTCAGAAGGATATTGATACTTTAGAGAGGGTTCAGAGAAGGGCTGCTAAACTGGTTCACGGATTGCAGGATAAAATTTACCAGGAAAGGTTAAAGGATCTTAACATGTATAGCTTGGAGGAAAGACGAGACAGGGGGGATATGATAGAAACATTTAAATACAATAAGGCGAATCAACATAGTAAAGGAGGAAACCATATTTAAAAGAAGAAAAAATACCACAACAAGAGGACAATCTTAAATTAGAGGGGCAAAGGTTTAAAAATAATATCAGGAAGTATTACTTTACTCAGAGGGTAGTGGATGCATGCAATAGCCTTCCAGCTGAAGTGGTAGAGGCTAATGCAGTTATAGAGTTTAAGCATGCGTGGGATAGGCATAAGACTAACTATAAGATAAGGCTAGCGACTAATGAAAGTATTTAGAAAATTGGGCAGACTAGATGGGCTGAATTGTTCTTATCTGCCATCACATTCTATGCTTCTATCTAAGTCCTGATAATGAGCAGTTTCCCCCAAATTGGGATGCTTGTAGGCCTTAGAGAGCTACAGACTGCTCTCTACACCATGCAGACACTAACTAGAAACAGATGCACAATATCCCTGTGATTATTAACAGGTACAGAATATCCTCCAGGCTGATAAAAGGCCTGTCCACACTTCAGCTTGAACACACTATATAAAAACTAGCGCCTTTAAGACTGGGTAACTCTGGATTTAGTTATTAGAGCAGATTGTTGTTGAGTCAGCAGTTTAAAGATTAAACCGTGCTTTAATCTGACTGCCATTTACTTTAACCCACTAACTCCCAAAACATTTAGTGTATTCATCCATTGTATACACACACACACACACACCTTAAAAAGTTCACATTTTACAGTTATCATTCATAGTTTCTGCACCCACCCCATATATATATATATATATATATATATATATATATATATTTTAATACAGTATTTGAAATGCATGTAGACAGAGGGGATGTACCCATGGATATCAAAAGACAGGAAACAGGCGGTAGGTTATGTGAACTTTAAAGGGACACTAATCACCACAACAACTACAGCTTATTGAATTTGTTCTGGTGAGTAGAAACATTACCTTCAGGCTTTTTGCTGTAAACACTGTCTTTTCAGAGAAAATGCAGTGTTTACATTACAGCCTAGTGATAACTTCACTGGCCACCCCTCAGATGTCTATTAGAGATCCTTCCTGGGTCATGGCTGCCTAAAATGCATCCAAACATTCAGTATCTCCTCCCTCTGTATGCAGACACTGAACTTTCCTCGTAGAGATTCATTGATTCAGTTCATCTCTATGAGGAGATGCTGATTGGCAAGGGCTGTGTTTGAATTGTGCTGGCTCTGCCCCTGATCTGCCTCCTTGTCAGTCTCAGCCAATCCTATGGGGAAGCATTGTGATTGGCTCAGAATAACACTTCTGATGATGTCAGCAGGCCGTGGGCAGGTCTACAGGAAATAGGGACAAAGCCTGCAGCTCCAGACTTGAATACAACTAAGATTTTACTATATTAGGGGGAGGCAAGAGGGGCCATGGGGGCTAGATGGCGGTTTTAACCCTATAGGGTCAGGAATACATGGATAATGAAGCCGGTCATTTTGGGGGGTTTCAAATGCATTATATTGGATGTTAATACACATCGGTTTTTCAAGTGAGATAAACCAGCAGGCTGATAGAATAGTGCATTAAAAGGTTTAAATATGGAGTGCAGGGATAAGTAAACAAAGCCAAAATAGTTATTATCTAGGAGATATACTTTTAAACTGTAAGACATGCTAGAAAATGGTAGATCCTAGAAACTAGTTTAACAAAATAATTAAGTAAAGGCATGATCTTGAGATATTGCTTGTCTCACATACCCCAGGATGCTCTAAGCACAATGTGGTGGTTATACTTTTTTTGGGAAGTATAGACATCAGAAGCAGGTTTATTAAACACCACAATGCCTATGACTTTAAATGTCTTTTTGTGCTTTATAGTGAGTTTCGTATGGTTGCACTTTCCAGTAGCCAAATTTATTACGTGGAGAGTGTACAGGGTAACTAATCTGTCCAACAGACAAAGAGCCGATTAATGATGATTAACTCAGAATTGGGGACAAGGTGACAGAGGAAATAACTAACCCATTACCGGCAATTGCACCACTACACAAGCTTTGTCTCTGAAATGCTGGGTCATGTTCTAAAGAATAAGACCAAAATGCCAAATTCAAAACCAAGTACTAAGCCCCTAACATGTAGTGCTGTCACTCCCAATCTAACAAGAGTCACATTTCCAAGGGACAGCTTTCTCCCTTCCTTCAAAATTTCATCAGCAATAACATTATAAATGTCATATTTATTTGAATCCCTTACTAGTGCAATACTTCTGTCTAGCCAATTAGATTTTTTTAAATTATCAGATTAGCATACCAGTTTTAATGCTAATGGTTATTATTAAAGAGCATGTTTTAGGACTACATCAACCTATTAGAGCCCTGAATTCTAGCAGGGCTATTTACTAAAGTGAGAATTGGGGGTGAATTTGACATCAATTTAAAATTTAAGGCCAAAATATCTAAATTGGAAGCATAGCCGACTTTAAAAAAAAAAAAAAAAAAAAAATTCCAATTTGGCTACATGGTGCTTAAATTTTAAATCCATTTTGACAATTCTTACTTTTCTGAATAACCCTGAATGTAGATCTATTTCTCCACTTCGAGGAGGCTTATGGTGCGCTGGTTGAAGAGTACGTATGTAAGGGACAGAATGTTACCTATCCATGGAGACGTCAATGTAAGTCATTTTTCCACTAGACTACATTTAAAATGAATGTTGACAACCTCCTGTCTGATGAATGTGAGCATACTACAACAAATCAGACAGCTGCACTCCACTCATTTGATGCTATTTGTTTTCTTTTAATATTTGCAATCCCACTTACAGACAGGTGAAACCAATAGCCCCTGAGCAAATGCAATCAGTAGAAAACAACTGCAAATAAGAGGTTTGTGTTTTTAGACAATCTGCAATGGCATGCCTACAAAACGTAGGTATATCGGTAGGCAGAAATGTCCAATAATACTTTGCCTTTATGGTGCATAATAAGAGTTGAGGTAATAGTCTTGTACATAGCATGGATGATTACAAAATAATTTTTAAAAATCTAGGCCTGCTTTGACAGAAAATGTACATTTCAGGAATATGGCACAGTTTTGTCATTGTAAAGGCACAGTGTGGCTCTAAAATGTAGTTCATGATTAACAATCATTATTCAATGTATACAATATACATATACAGGTGTGCTAGAGCATGATATAGTGTCAAACATCTGCTTGCCATAGCTGAAAAGCTTTGTTCCCTCAAGTTCGTTCAGTTTCTCTCTTTCATTACAGAGCATATACTTAGGAGTACCCCTCCGATTCAGGCTTACAGGTGGTTCCGTAGAACAGAGGGCCTGGTTTTGTAAATGATAAAATTACTTGGCAAGTCAGATAGTTATGGAGGTCTTGCAGTCAAGCTAGCATATGATTATGAAAACAGCTAGTGGTATCTTTAGTAGCCAATGAAAATAGTGGTTCCACGTGCAGGTAGCAATCAGGGGTGGTTCTTCAATAGAAGAAAGAGAAAAGTTTGCAGGATAAACTGTCATATTCCATACGCCAATAGTGTGCGTAAAACACACTAAGGAGATAAAGGATGATCGGTATTAAGAAATGGTGTCAGCACTGAACAGTATACAGCTTGGCTCTCCCGTTAATCTCCATCTCATTAATGGATTTCAGATCCAGGCTGGGGATGAAGAATTCACCCAGGGGAGTTCCGTTAATGGCAAGCTTGAAAACCCTATCTTCAGGCAGGATTAAAATCTGTAGAAAAAAAAAAAAAAGACCATTCAAAAGACCATTTGGTAAACAATCTTAAATCTAAGATGACAGTGGTTGTTTGTTTTTGGTTTTGTTTTTTTAAAAAGGTACACTCCACTGCTCAAATATAAAATCAATAAAGAAAAAAAAAGAATTAAAAAAATAAATAAATAATAATAATAAAAAACAAAACAAAAAAACACATCACAGTTTAGGAGATCAATGAAAACTTTTATGCATTTAACCATGTATTTTTTCCTTGGGGTTATATTTAAAAATAGGTTTTTTTGCAAAAGCTGCAGATTTCTTGTCTGAAGCCTTTGCAAGCTCTCCCCTTCTAACCCTGCCCAGACTTTCTTTGGCTGTCCAATCAGATTTCCCAAAGCAGTTCAATAAGAAGTCTTTGAAAGGCAGGTTCTGAGTTATTGCTGCCTCTTGTGTTGAGCTCCACTGAGCTAACCAAACCAGGAAGTGATGTCTGCTTGAAAGTCAACGGGGCGTAATCAGGTTACTTTAGAAAAGTGTAATAAAAAAAATAAAATTACATACTATGATAGAGATAGATATATATATATATATATATATATATATATATAAAAAAAATAGTATACACACACAAATCTTTGAGCTAAAGTGCTTTAGAGGTCTGGAGTGTCCCATACCGTTTTAGTCCTCACTGATTTAAGTCATATTTATCAGGTGACAGGTAAGGCAATTACCTGCAATAACTGGCATTTCAAAGATTATTTGTTTAATTATTCGTTAAATTTAAATTACTGGTTAAAGACACTTTTTTACTCTTTTTTTTTTTTTAAAAGAAAAGAAAAAAGTGGAAGTCACGCCCCCTCCTCCTGACATCATCAGGAGAGGCCGGCCGACTTCAATAGCTGCTGTGTTCCTGATGCAGGCTCCAGCTCATGTCTCACCCCTCCCTGGCCCAAGGTAAGCCTCAGGGGGGGGGGGGTATACTTTTGTTTTGTTTTTTTAAATCAAAACTTTTTATTTTTTTGGCAGCCCCTGTCCTACCCACCTACCATAGCCCCTGTGCCCCCCTCCACAGCTCCTATCAACCTCTAGAGCTTCTGTGCCCCCCTCCATTTCCTGTCGCCCTCTCCCCTCCCTCAAGGGGGGTTTTAAGGGACACAAGAGGGTGTAAGACATAGTAAAGGGGAGATAGAATACAATAAAGAGGGTAAAAAAACAAATTCAAAAGGGGGGGGGTTACGACACAGGTAAATATGCATTTAAAAAAAAAAAAAAAAAAGCCTAGTCTTTGTAGCCAAAAATCCTTGCAATAGCCCTGCCTACGTCAGAAAGGAATACTAAACACTACACACTATTACCTCAAAAAATCTTTCTTCGTGAAATAAGAAAAAAGGGGTCTGAATCTTCTGAGGCTCAGACCAAGATTGTCCAGTTAAGTGGTTGAAACACAAGGTTTGGTCTTGGAAGTTGGCAGTCAAACTGAAGGGAATAAGTTCACCGGATTTCAACCAAATATTAATCCTATGAAAACAAAACAAAATTAATCTCATTATACACTGCCCTGAAATGCAAGGGTATTTAAATGGAGATTACGCCAATCAGGCCAGTTACATGAGCTCTTCTAGTATAATTCCACTAGCACATGTCCATGTACAGAGCTACAGAACATGGTGATGCTTTTAAAGAAAAATGGTCGATCGAGTTTATGATTTTAAAAAAGCGCTGACCGAATTAGCAGAAGAGACATACAAATAATTGTGAGAAAGCAGGAAAGACATACTGAACTGATGTTTTAAACAAACTCTCCAACCACAATTAACCTGTACATCTTGCTAAAGTGGTTCTGGTACTAGAAGTGAATTCTCCCACTGTAGTTTGCCAAGACAATTTAACCCCTTAAGGACACATGACATGTGTGACATGTCATGATTCCCTTTTATTCCAGAAGTTTGGTCCTTAAGGGGTTAAAACAGTTTGACAATATACCTAGGTCCCACTGGTCAGCCACAGCCCCATAATTAAATGGTTATTGCATTTGATAAAGTCTTTTGTGACAAAACGAGTTATGGATATTTAATTGTGTTTTATTATTAAAGTTAATTTGGTTATTTATTTGTGCCAATTATCTTTTTATACACATTTCTTTTATTTTTACCCTGGCTTTTTAATATTTATTTTTATAGTTATTTTACTGAATTATTTTATTATTTTTAACCACTTATTGGTTTGTACCAACAAATTGGAAGATTCCAGTACCCCAAGAAATCCTTAAGTGGGGATCAATCCACTTACGCTGTCATCATAGAGCAGTTCGCCTGCTCTCTATTTGTAAGTACGTTTTTTATTCAATTTATACCATCACCACTATACAGTGAGCACTACTGGTTGACTCTTCTTCCTTCCGAGAACTGATCATCCCTGACGGAGAGATATCCTACCACATATAGCATATAAGCGGGGATCATACCGCTGTGTGCGCGCCTTATCTCAGAGCTGGACAAAAGCTCTTGTAAATGTGAGTGTTCCATTATTATCTCTCAATACGTCACAATTTGGACTTGATATACTGCACCATTGGTTGTCCGTCTTTTCTCTCTTTCATATAAGAGGACCCACCATTATATTTGAAGAATCAACCATCCTACCAGCCTCCCAATAAGAATATCCGTAAGGACTCACAATTTGGACTCTTATTGGTTTTTATCTTATTTTTATTTTATGTGGCGCAGCCTTTTTTATTGTTACTTTTACTTATCTTGTTTTAAGGGTATCTAGAGGGATTCCCCTTTAAGGGTTGCTGCCTTGAGTTGTTTAGCGCCGTCTCATCCACTTATCACTATTACCACAATCTGCAATATATAGCTGACATTTTTTTGTCATAGGGCAAGTTGCATTGGCTGCACATTAAATGTAATTGTCAAAATACAGCAAGTGGCAGCCCTGTGACAAAAAAAAAAAAAAAATTCAATATAATTGCAGACAAAAATTTTTGAAGACTGGTATCTCACACTGGGACGGTATTGGTGACACCATCTATGCAGCTTTGCGCTCTCTGGGGTTTAATCGCTAAATAAGGTGCTGAACAACTGACAAAGAAACCACATCAGGCCAAATTAACCACATTGGAATTATCCAACTCAGCCATTTGATGCTTCTTCACTACAGTGATATGGCTAAAATAAAAGGAAAAATCACCTGAGCTATAGGTCTGCCCCCTAGACCTTACACACAACTACCAACACACTCTGCACAAACGCACAGGTTACAAAAGATAAGCTCAACATGTATAAAGAGATATCAGCTATACGCAGCTGCTATCAGTTAATACTGAGATTAAACTACTTGTATTAAATAAATAGAGCTCTACTAGACAAATGTAATTGGAACAGGATGAGATATCAAAAAAAGGATTCCGATTGGAGGAAAAACTCTGATTGGAGGTAGGGGCCAGTCAGCTGCAGCAGTCACCTGGGCAGTTAAAGGAGCTATAAGAACTTTGGGGTTTTTTCTTACTTTATTTTTGCTATGTTATCTTCTAATTTGATAGTTATAGGCTGAAAGACACGTGTTCATCAAGTTCAGCCTTCCTCACATTTGTTTTTTGCAGTTGATCCAAAAGAAGGCAAAAAAAAAAAAAAAACAAACCCCACAGTTTGAAGCACTTCCAATTTTGCAACAAACTAGGGGGAACAAAATGCCCTCTTGACCCCAGAATGGCAGTCAGATTTATCCTTGGAACAAGAAGCTACAGTTGAAAGATTATATAATATAAATATCTGTACAGACTCTGATAAAAGCACTTCTTCAGGCTGAGAATTCCACATCCTTATTGTTCTTATGATAAAAAAAACAAAAACACACCTTTCCTTTGCCTTAGACTGAATCTTATTTCTTCTAGTCTAAACGCACAATCTTGTGTTCTATGTGTAGTACTGTTTTTGGGAGTAGATTTTCACACAATGGTTTGTATTGGCCGCGGATATATTTATATAATGTTATCATATCCCCTCTTAGGCAACGTTTTTCTAAACTAAAGAGGTTTAAATTTGTTAACCTTTCTTTGTAGTTAAAATATTTCATTCCTTTTATTAATTTTGTAGCCCGCCTTACACTTTTTCCAGTGCCATGATATCCTTCTTTAGAACAGGAGCCCAAAATTGCACAGCATATTCAAGGTGTGATAAGATGTGGTCTTACCAATGATTTATAAAGAGGCAAAATTATATTCTCATCCCGAGAATTAATGTATGACAATATCTCACTGGCCTTAGCCACTGCTGATTGACATTGCACATTGTTGCATTGTTTGTGGTCTACAACAATTCCCAAGTCCTTCTCGTGTGTTATTGCATTAGAAATTAGGGGATCAGTTCCTGCTTGTTGTATCCCTTTAACCCCTTAAGGACCAAACTTCTGGAATAAAAGGGAATCATGACATGTCATACATGTCATGTGTCCTTAAGGGGTTAACAAAATAAAGCCCAGATCAATTTAGAATTCTGGTGTTTGGTACTTTAAAAATGCATTTGTCATTGTTTGACAACCCTCATGTCCCAACACAAAAGGAAGGAAGAAAACAGGAAGCGATCCAGAGGTTTGCTAATTATAGCCCTCGACCCTCCAATAGTACTCTGTTCTGTAAAAGCAACATAAGCTCTACATATATTGAGTGAGCATCACTGGAGTTGTAGTTCAAAAGTCAGTTTGAGAGTTACCTAAAGACTATGCAGGATTTAAATAAAAATAAATCTTACTTATCTGGGTCCTCTAAAACCAAACCTCGCACTTTAATCAGGTGACCTTCTGAGAGACCATCAGGCAGACTCATCAACAGAGGCGTTTCCTACAATATAGTAAAGGAGATGTTACACACAATGAACAATGTAGCACATATCGTGACCAATGAGATCATAAAATTTATATATACACACACACACACACACACACACACTACAATGTTGCTTGAGTCAAAGCAGTGTTACACTGTCATGGTCTCATTTGTCCTGAAATATTCATGCAGTACCCTCTGGATCCCCGAACACTGAAGTATTTTAGTAATCATTAAAGGTTATCGGCTAGAATACTTAACTAAAACGGTTTCTAAAATAAACTTGCAACAAAATCTCTGTCCTCTACACGCTACGGACGTCTGTTGGTAACGTCTATCATACCTGAATGGAGCAATAGTCACCTAGATTGAAAAAGCGACACCAAAACCAATATCAGGGTTAATATTAACAACTCATCTTTCTGAGAAAAATATAAAATATGTAAATAAATCTAAAAACCCTAAAACAAAAAACAGCAATAAAGATATTGGCCTCCATTTACACACCACTAACACCTCCACCTGTGCACTCAAACTCCACTCACATGACACCATAGAGTAAACTTACCAGGGCTGCACTGCCAAGTTTCAGAGGCTGGAAAAACAAAAAACAAACAAAAAAAAAACATTTAATTAAGTTGTGCAGGATTATATGATCATATAGATTCTATAGGAGTTAAAGAGTTAAAAGAGGTTTCTGCTCTGCTCCTGTCCTCCCGCCCCACCACCTGCTCCCTCGATCCTATTCCCTCGCGTTTCATCCACACTTTGTCTCCCTCTCTTGCTCTTCCTCTCGCTAACATTTTCAATCTCTCCCTTTCCTCTGGCACATTTCCCTCTGCCTTCAAACATGCAACCGTAACCCCAATTCTGAAAAAGCCCAACCTTGATCCCAACTCCCCATCCAACTACCGCCCTATCTCGCTACTGCCATTTGCCTCCAAGATCCTCGAGAGAGTTGTCTACGCCAGATTGACAGACTTTCTTGAATCCAACTCTCTGCTTGACCCCCTTCAGTCTGGATTCCGCGCTGGTCACTCTGTCGAAACTGCTGTGACCAAAGTATCCAACGATTTAATTGCTGCTAAATCTCGCGGCGAATACTCTATCCTTATCCTCCTTGATCCTTCTGCCGCCTTTGACACTGTTGATCATCAACAGCTTCTTCACATTCTCCGTAACTTTGGTCTACGGGATTCTGCTCTCTCCTGGTGCTCCTCCTACCTCTCCCAGCACTCCTTCATTGTTTCTTTCTCTGGCTCTGCCTCTTCTCCCCAACCCCTCCCTGTCGACGTCCCCCAAGGTTCTGTCCTCGGCCCCCTACTGTTCTCTATCTATACTGCCTCCCTTGGTAAACTCATCAGCTCTTTTGGCGTCCAATACCATTTATATGCAGATGACACGCAAATCTACCTGTCCTCCCCTGATCTCTCTCCGCCCACCTTGACTCGTGTTTCTGACTGCCTCTCTGCTATTTCCAACTGGATGGCTGCTCACTTCCTTAAACTCAACCTGTCCAAAACAGAACTTCTAGTTTTTCCTCCCTCAAGTGCTGCTACTCCTGTGTCTGTCTCCATCCAAGTCAACGGCGCTACTATCACCTCTACCTCCCAGGCTCGCTGCCTAGGAGTTCTTTTTGATTCTGATCTCTCTTTTACTCCCCATGTTCAATCGATAGCCAAATCCTGTCGCTTCCAACTCAAGAACATAGCGCGCATCCGCCCATATCTAACGCCGGACGCGGCTAAGGTACTGGTTCATGCTGTTGTTCTCTCTCGCCTTGACTATTGCAATCCCCTTCTCACCGGTCTTACATGTTCCCAGCTTGCACCGCTGCAATCTATAATGAATACGGCTGCGAGGCTTATTTTCCTGACCGGTCGCACCTCCCACGCCTCCACGCTCTGTCAGTCCCTGCATTGGCTTCCAGTTAGATACAGGGCCCAATTCAAAATTCTGGTGCTTGCTTACAAATCCCTACATAATGCTGCTCCAACATACCTATCCTCCCTCATACACAAGTATGTCCTGTCGAGACCCCTGCGCTCAGCCCAAGACCTACTCCTATCCTCTGCCCGGATCCCCACCTCTGATGCTCGCCTTCAAGACTTCTCCAGGGCTGCACCTATTCTGTGGAACTCCCTTCCCTCCTCAATCAGACTTTCACCCAGCCTCCATTCCTTCAAAAAAGCTTTGAAAACTCACTTCTTCATTAAAGCGTATCAATTAAACTGTCAGCAGGTTTCTCATCCCCCACCCCATGACTCCGTTCCTTCACTTGTCAAAAATGATCTACCAAGCACTCAAACCCTTCTGTAACAAACTATTTAATTCCCCTACTTTAACCCTTTGTGTCACTATACCCCACTCCCTCTAGCATGTAAGCTCATCGAGCAGGGCCCTCAACCCCCTCTGTTCCTGTACGTCAGTGGTCTGATCTCAATTATGTGTCCGTTAGTCCACCCATTGTACAGCGCTACGGAATTTGTTGGCGCTATATAAATAAAATAATAATAAAATAATAACAACAGAAATATAGATTCTAAGACAAAGTTAAAAAGAAAATTGAATAAATAACTATTGAAGCCTGGGTGCGTGCACGAGAGAGAGAGAAAAAAATAAAAATAATATAATACACTTCCAATAGGAATGTTAACGTTTTATTATTCAATTGTTGAAAAATGTAAGACTGTTCCTTTATTCCCCCTTTTCTTTTATTTGTATATATCATGTATCTGTGAATAAATATTATTTACATTTAAAAAAAAATGCCAAAGGTGTGTTCTGGCAGACTGCTACACCTACATGTTGCTCTTGAATTGCACTTTACATAAACCCTTTTCACTGGTAATCGGTGGGTTAATTAATGCTGGTGTATGAAGAGGGTTCAGATTGCCGTTAATCATAGATTCATGAAGAGACTGCCACCTTGTGTCTAGTTTAGACACTGCAAACATTAAAATAAAACAAGAAAATACGGTTACCTGGCACACTGGATACTCTGTCAGTTCATCATGATATGGCTGCAAAGGAGGAAAAAATATATAAGTATGACAGTGACAGTAAAGATCTGTTCCTTAGGGAGAACAAAATGAGAAGAGAGCCTTTAATGAGACTACAGAAAGGGTAAGAGGTCATCCTTCATTGTGACAGCAGAAGAAATAGTTCAGTACGAATAAAAAATAATGGGAATGTTCTGCCACAAGGATTAATTTAGAATCTAAAAAAATGTATATTAAAACAATAAGAATACAAAATACAGATGACGTCAAGGATGGTGACAAATCGGATTGTGAAATCAAGAAGGAATCTATTCTCTATGATGCACAATTGTAAATTAGGTCAGTATCCTGTATTAATAATATATATATATATATATACAAACAAGGGAATAATAAAATGAAACACTGGGAGAAATAAAAAAAGGCACAAAACCTTGCAGCAATAAGGGCAATAGGGACACTGTACCCACAACACTTCAATGAGCTGAAATGGTCTGGGTGCCTGTAGTGTCCCTTTAAGCATGATATGCCGTTGAAATTGAGGGCATGTGATATAAAGCATTGATTGCACATGCCTTGTTCAATAGTCTGGTGTGTTATATTTAAGAGGAATCAGATGTGATTCCAAACGCTAGTGCTATTTGACTTTCGGTCAAATGTAAACAGACATCACAGTACTTAAAGGACCACTATAGTGCCAGGAAAACATTTTGGTGCCCCCATCCGAGGAAAGGGGTTAAACTTAGCTTTTTTCCAGCGCCGGGCGCTCTCCTCCTCCTCTCCTTCGGCTGAAGTTAATCCTAGAGGAACCTGGCACACAGACCACTTCATTAAGCTGAAGTGGTCTGGGTGCCTAGAGTGGTCCTCTAAAGGGGCACTGCAGGCACCAAGACCACTTCATCTCATTGTCCCACTTGGTCTGCTATGTAAAGCACTGCAGTTTTAGAGAAAATGCTAGGTTTCCATTGCAGTAATAAGACTGTCTCTAGTGACAATCTACCAGGCAGCCACTATAGGCGCTTCCTGGAGTGTCACGCCCTCACATTCTGCATGAGGACATTCAGAGTCATGAAAAACCCCATAGAAAGCAGAGACAATGCAGCGCTTCTGCATTAGGTCCCCCATCAGCTGATTCCGAGGAAGTGGAACAAGACCCTGAGCTGAGGGACATCGATGTTTGAATCGAAAAAGTGAATAATGTGTTATTTAACCCTTTACATCGCCGAAAGAGAGGTGGGGGTGAGCCCGCAAGGGCAGTGGAACATGTTAGTGCTAGGAATTAATCTTTGTATTCCTAACACTCCTTTAACAAAGAATATAGTTCTATAAACAAAATGATCATATACTGTATATTCCATGACCACTGTGTGTATACATGACTGTCCCAGGTGTCTGATACTTGCATTACTACAGAGAAACGATATATCCTTGACGGCAACATCCCCATAGATCCCGAATGTATCAACATCACTAAGAGGGAGACGGTGGACAAAATCTAGGATATGTTGACCTCCAACGCTGACCTGGAGAGGAAGATTAAATCATAATCATTGCACACTAAACAGCAGTGCACTACATAATACGCACAGATAATAAAACTAACACTGAACATTATAAATCAGCGTATATATGTTTTTCTTACGTTTAGCTCACCTTAATTCTGTCTGCAAGAAACAGGAAGACTATTTGAAAAGACTGAGCTTTGTGGAGGGGGATCTTTGAAAAGCGAATCTCATCAAGCCACTGGTCCTTCCGCAGAGTATTACAGATGACATGGGTTTCAGAGGAAGAAAACCGGGGGTTAAAATGGAATGCTACGTCGGCCCGTGGACTAGTGCTGCAACCAGACTGCAGATCGACCTGGAACCTGGGAACACACAGAAATATACTGCATGAGTGTAGAACACAGACTGCAGATCAAACGTACAAGGTGGGCCAGAAAGAGAAAGATTCTGCAATCACAGTTTGAGACGCTTGAAAGAAAAAAAAAAGATTTTTTTTTTTTTTTTTTTTTTTAAATCCACAGACACACACACTATATCTCTATATTGTTTCTTAGATTATGTGAACTCTCCAATTATAGCAATCCATCCAACAGCAAAGTCAGGCTGCAATTGTTGGAATAAGCCACCTTCCACTCTCACAGTCAAATAGTCGTTTCCATCTAAGGCTAGACAGATAAAGTGAAGACCCAAAATATTCTGTGCACCTTAACCGCTACCATGAGCTGCAGTGGTTATGTTTAAGTAAAACAGATTAATGTATCTTAAAGGGACTCTAAATTCATCATCACAAAAATATACAGATGATCATCTGAACACAATCTAAAAAAAATGTCGGGCCACATTCTAGTAGTAGAGAATGATTGAATATTCAGAAGTTATAATACACCAATGTCACAAGTGTCATAAAATAGTAGGGTATATTACACTTATGTGACACACTGTGAACAAGGCATCATATCAGAGGTCATCGTATAAAATCTGAAGGGAAACCAGAGATTGTGGTATGATGCCTTGTGTTCTGTTACAAAAAAAAAAATAGGTTAAGATGCTGGTTCTATACCAACCAGAGTGGGTATAATCCTCATATCACAGTTAGTGGGTCTCCTCTTATCACAAATATGTGACCATGTTACACAAAATACAACTGGGACATAAGTCATGATTTCACACTTAAAGCAGAGGTGACCAAGTATACCACAGACTAACCATGTGCACAGTGAGAAAATTAGTCTAGCCAAACCATATTCACAGCTCCCCCACCCCCAATTTTTTTTTTTTTTTTGGAATGGCCATATTTGGGCAAATTGCAGCTTGGTTTGTCAAAATTTTGGTAAGAAACCACACAAATCAAAAGTGGGCCAATCAGTGGACTGGAATACACATACCCAACTATCATGTATATATTTTTCAGTATACTGATAGGAGCATCTTCCCGCCATTTGGTTCACAGATCAAGTGAACAACAGAGGGAAAAAGTGGTGAAACCGTCAATTTCAGTTTTTTGTTTTTTTATTAATTTATTTTTCAAATGCTCCTTCCCACATTCCCTCTATTGGTCACTTCTCGCTTAATCTGTGAATAAAAATCAACATTAGGGACCATTCCTTAGCCAATCATCTTTCACCTATGTTAACCATGTACTTTTTTGGCGCCAAGAGCAGAATCCAAACTCCAGTAACAAAACCAACATGCTCAGCCACTGCTCGATTCAGCTGGATGGTGAATCGGCTACATTTAGCATTGGAATGCGGTAATTGAATTATTACCGATCAGCCCAAAATTCGTTCATGAGGGAGTATGCATACCACAATTCCGGCATTTTGTTCTGGTGCCACAGACCCCACAGTTCTAAAACAAAAATCTATTATTTTGAGGAGTAAACAGGTTTTTGGCGACAGTTGACCTTTACTAAATAAATATCACAAATCATTTTCCACCTCTAAGCCAAAGTTCTCTTAATTACCCTGCTATTTAGAATTTCCCCATTTTACGATGCAGTAAGGCATCTCGATGTACAGGTTTAAAAAGGTAATTAAACTATTTTGCACCTTTGTGATTTATTATTAGTTCTTCTAATGCCTGAGGTATGTTAGTAAATTTATGAAACACTTCACACACAAAATACACTTATGCAAGTGAAACACAAGAATCTTAACTATGTTAGCACTTTTCGGACTTAGTGAAAGTTCAGTTACTTGCGCATAGAGAGGAGACACTTAAACCAGAATTTATTAAATACCACAATTTTTGAATTTTTTTGTAATGCAGGTTTAAAAAGCTAGAATTCAGTTTCTAAAACTTGGCACTCAAACAAATTCCACTTAATGAATTTTATTTATGCGGAAATCATTGGCCTCCAAAAGGAGAATGTTTAGCTCAAAAGTTCCACAGATCTAAGGCATCATACTGCATGCTGAGCATTACTAAAGTTTGTCAGAAAAAAAAATAAGCCTCAACAAGAGAGTTGTAGGGAACCGATTTTAAGGGTCACTGTAAGTACCATAACCACTTCAGTGATTTTAAGTGGTCATGGTCCCTAGAATCTGTTTGTGCAGCATTTCGCTTTGAAACACTGTACATACAAAAGATTTACCCCTCTGCTGCCAGAGATGTAACTCCACCTCTGGAAGGGTAATATGGGGGGGCATAGTTACACAGAATTACACCATTGGCTGAAAGTGGTCTATCAGCCAATGAATGTGGACTGCTGTGGGTTCTGCATCTCTGCAGAAGCACATCACTGGACAACCAGAGTCTGGTGTGGATTCACATGAGGGGCAGTCTCCTGGTGCTTCTTGATGACTCAGAGTACTGCAGCAGGTGCTCAGAGTCCCTGACAGAGCACTGAAACCAAGTGGTTGCTTTTAAAAAGTTGTCTACACCAGATATCTATACCCGAACTGGACGTTCAGTTAACATAAGACACGGACACACACTCTCTTTGTGAGAAACCTTTTAGCAATGTGCAGCGACCCAATAAAACTTTGTGACTACAAAAGTATAACAAAATAAAAACAAAATACATAAAAAGGGTACACCGCAAACTTTCCAACTGTAAAAATGTTTTGTTTTTTTAAATATAATTTTATTAATATGAAGTGAACTCCAATAAACTTAAAAGTGCAAATGAAGTTTACATTTGTTCATTTTACTGTTCTGCACACAGTTTGTCACGCATGTTTAGCACTGTTTAGCTCTAGGAGGGGCCCCAAGGCAACCTTAATCCGGCTACGTGAGGATGTACGCCACAATTCCTTGCAATGCCTGCCATGCTTCCGGGTGTCACTGTCACACACACACACACACTGAAGCAGTATTCATGGGATCCTCAGATGTTCACATTTTGTTTAATTATATATTATGCTGACTATGGAACAAATTTGTCTCTCCCAGTCACATGCTATATCACATGCCGTATGATGGATATGTAGAAGTTACTCATTAGAAAGTATGCCTGCAGGACAAGGAGGCAACGTTCCAACATATCAATAAGAGTCAAATCTTCTGTCCAGCAAGATTTCAGCTTTAAAAAAGGAATGTTCCAGGGTCGAGAGGGCCATTTTTTAATGCACCAAATATCATGTGTGAAGTTCCTGCATTTGCTGTGTAGTGGCATGCTGTGCAGCAGAACTTGTAATGAGCTCTCAGCAAACAATACTAGTCTCATGTGAAGTAAAATGGTCATGACAAAAATATATATAATAAAAATAAAAAATTGTGTATATATATATATATATATATATATATATATACACATATATATATATATATACATATATACATACACACACATATACATACATACACACACACATACATACATATACACATACATACATACATATATACACACACACACACACACACACACCACCCCAGGTGTAGAAAAATAAAATAAAATAAATAAAAAAGTCCCTTTTTATTGACTCTCAAAGTCTTCTTGGAAGCTGTATCCTTTTCATTTTGTCCAATAAAATGCTTGAAACGTTAGATACGAGAAGCACATGCACAGCAAGACCCACGTTAATCCGATCAAATGCTTCTCAAAGCAGAGCATAGAATTCAGTGGCTTCCTAAGATTACTTTTAACTTTATGGAAAAAGTGCACCTTTGTGTGTGTACAACAATATGCCACTGAACAATAAGAACTGATAAATAGGTCCTTCCTCAACATTTTATTTATTTATTTAAATAAGAGTGCATGCTTTATTGGGGTCGAAAGATCAGTATAAACAAAGTGATTTAACCCACAAGTAAAAGAACTGAGCAGAGACAATGCAGTAGCATGATCTATATACAGTTTCATTTTTCCCCTTTATTTTTGTTGCGCAGGCGGGTACAAAAACATTGATAAACACCACAACAGCGTACACATGTATTATATAAACAGGTTAAACAGTGGCATAAATAACTGCATATTTTTTGTTTGAGTACAGGCTTTTGTCAAGCGCCACCCGTACATATAGGTACATACAGGCTTGGCATTGGCATGAGTGTGTGCACGTTTTTAAACATAAACAAGCTTAATAATATCAAGCTAAACATAAATGATGAATGACTGCGTTGCTATAGATTACTGCAGTATAGAAAATGCCTGAGTATAAATGTTGGTGGGAGAGACAAGGCAGGAGGTTAAAAAAATAAGAAATATCTAACATGTAGATTATAAAATGATTAAGTAAATGAACAAGCCAGATTGAGGCAGGCGTCTAGTAGCCGCTAGGTATTTAGCATTTCAGCAACCGGGGTGAACCCTTATGAGAATAGGGACCAACAGTGTGAAATAACATGTCATACAATACATTTACATAGGTTGGCTGGCTTAAAGGCTAATTGTCAGTTTCAGTAGGTGTCACTGGGAAACAGGTCAGACAAATAGATTGTTAGGGGTAAGCTGTGCATTAAATGGCCTGTAGCCATAGTCTGAGACCGCTTAACCAATGCCCACTAGTGGCAGCTTGCCAAACCCTATAAATCTGAGTCCGTCTTCCTGTAGCTGAGAGCGCCGCCAGTCCCAAGTGCCTGTGTGGTCATATACCTCCCCGATCTCGCCGTCACAGAGTCCGGTAGCTGGGGCCATGCCATCTCTGTGCCCGTGAGGGAGTGCGCCATATGAGGTCTCCAACTGACTGGCATGCTAGCTTGGAGTCTTCTCTCCTGTAAGAGCCATGTAGGAATGTAGCTGCGAGGTGGAAGCTTGCATGATGGCTGGCGTCGTACCGCCATGCAATTCTGTGCTTGGTGGGTCTGCCGGCAGGCCAGTCGGCGAGAGCACTACTTATCGGTATGTGCTTTGGGCTTAGGAGCCACCGTTCCAGCTCTCACTCTCCTTGTGGCAGACACAGCGGTGTGGGTGAAGTTGTGCTCTATGCGCCTCCAGAAGTCCCAGCATATGCCGTCAAATTGAGCTTTAAAGCGCTCTCTCCATGCCCGTGTTTCTAAGCTTACATGGAGTTGCAGTGGTTGGTGCTTGGTGGCCATCATGTACCCGACATGCGGTCTGCGTTCAGGTTCGAGAGATTTCAGGGTGTGAACCTGTCAGTTTCCCATGTTAGAATGTTCTAATCAAATGCTACCATTGGACCAGGAGTGGGCCATAATTATGTCAACGAGGCATGGAAACCGGTTTAGGGAGCTTTGCCCAGCTCTGGATTAAGGAACACTATAGTGCTAGGAATACAAACCTGTAGGTAGAACAGAGGACTAAAACAATAAATAAATCATTTGTTTAATTCAGACCAGGAGAGAGTAATTACATGACAAGGTGGAGAGAGGGGAGATTATGAAATTAGAAAGAAGAACTAGAGGGAAGGGATTGCAGGAAAGAAAAAAGGAGGGTGGGAATAGAAAACTATAAGCACACACTGACATTTCACAGAAATACACCTAAAAGTCATTCACTGACCCTCATCAGCAATGAACCCCACATTCACATACTGACACTCCACAAAAATACTCCTTACATTAAACACACCGATGCTTCTCAGAAATGCACACACACTTACTAGAAACTAGACTTCTGCATAATGAAATAAGTTGTTTCAGCAGAACTACTTCATTTGATAATAAAAAAAAAATTACATTTCAGGGCGTCTGAATTTTGACCATATGACAGAAGAGGAGATGCAGAACAAAACCAAAACATAAAATAAAATAAATAACACACAAAAAAAAAAATTAATATATATATATATACACACATATATACATACATACATACATACATACATACATACACACACACACCCATAAACTTCAGTTTGTGGACTATTTGCATTCTACTCTGGGGGACTGCAGATCAGTTTTCCAGGTTGCTCCTGCTTGGGTGCTGTTGATCTGCAACTGGTTATCACACTGTGCCACACCACCCCACCTATTGTTTTCAAGCCCAACACCACTGACCGAATTCTGAATCATGAAACAAAACGAACACGCTTGTTTGTTGCGTGATTAGTTTGGTTTGTGATTTAACTACATTTTTGCTCGGAGTTCGGGAATTTGTATAGTCACTCGACTGGCCCAAATTCAAATCGAACCGCAGTTTGTAACAAATCTCCAAATGCAATATAAATATACCTCACACCCTGACATAACACAGAAATACACCGCACATTCATATACACTTTAGTGAAATACAGTTCATATTCACACTTACAGTCAGCAGAAATACACCTCACATACACATACGTAAACTTCATAAAAATACCCACCAACAATCAACCATATTGATATTCCCTATAGTCCTAATTGCCTTCAACTGAATGGGGAAAATCTCTTCATCTGCAATTGGGGCCATTCAGGCTGCAAAGTCTGGATGTTGTTGATCGAATTCATTAATGTCCGTATTTCAACCATGGCAAACCCCATTGGACGGATGAAATCGGGGCTGAGTGAGGCAAATCCAGGCTCAAATTCAACTTTGATCCAGTATTTAAAAAACAAAACCCCAAACCAAATTATTTGCCACCAGGCAAATAATGAAAAAACCCTTGGTGGAGCAAGTTTTAATTTTATGGTGGGTGTCCAGCATTTGCTAGCTAGTTGCCACATTAAAATGAAGGTAATGTACCACCATATGCCAAACTAACATTTCAGAGAAATACACCTGACATTTGTTCACCGACCATCATTTGCATTGCACCACACATTCACATACTGACACTCTACAAAAATACTCCCTACATTCACACAACGATGCTTCTCAGAAATGCACGTCACATTCTCACAGATCAACACTTCATAGTAATTTGACTGAACAGCAAAATAAATTGTAAAGCTAGGCCAGCAGATGGGGGCATGTCTTCAGAACATTTAAAATTAGAAATGGATCAGCAATTGCTGCCCAGTTATTAGAAATGACCCCACGGGGCCTGAGAAATAACAACGGGGCATAGTTGTCCCCTCCCCTCTACCCATTTTGGTGTGTGGGGCCCTAATATGTATAATAGGGGGACAAATGTCTCCTCCCTGGCCCCAAATCAGGCTAGCCTGCGGGTGGGGACCCTATTACAATAAAGAATGGGGGAGGGGGGGAATCTAGTGCCCGCTCCCTTGGACCCCCTGATGTCGGCAGGTGAGGGCCCTAATATGTATAATAACGGGGAGCCATTGTTCCATCCCTTTGCATGCACTAAGAGACCCTAATTAACTATAATATAAGGGGGTGATATCTGGATGTAAGAGCACTCTTTTTGGTTCAATTACAAGCCAACCCATCAGAGAGCACTTGGTCATATTGCAAAGTGTGGGAAGTTTTCGGACACTTTGCGATACCAGTCAGAGTGGGAACGCCTTTAAAAAGGGCATTCCCTGCTAGAAGCACTCATTCTGCATAGAGCCCTCCATTGGTGAAATTTTTTTTTTTTTGTTGCAGTGTGAGTTTTATTTTCTGGCAGGATTTTTTTTGGGGGGTGGAGGGAAATTTTTTTTGGCCCTGCCCCCTCTATTATACCTACTCAGGCCCCTACCCACCGGCATCAATGGAAGCCAGGGAAGAGGACAATAGGCCCCCCACCCCTAAAATGTAAAGCATCACCCACCCGATGCCCACGGATGGGGGCGACTACCTCTCCCCAGTTATTTCACATTTCAATGGCTGCCCAGTTGCAAGTTTTAAATGTTCAATAGATATTCCCCTACCTGATGGGTGGCAGAAAGGGACATATTGAGGCAATATACTTCTATTAAAGTATTATGGGGGTCTTATTGACCCCATAGGCTTTCTATTGATTTACTTTTTCATGTGGCGGCTCGCAAATGCTGCAAAAGGGTTTTAACAATTTGCTCTCTGACGGCTTGCGCTAGCTAGCAAAAACCGAGTGAATGATTATTTGATGATGCATTTGGGTTATCGTGGTCACGAGGTTGTTGATAAATATCGGATTCCACTGCTGTAGACTGGTTCGGATTCAGATATTAGCGATTTTCCAAACGCATCTAAATCAATATTACAGAATCTATCAGATCGAATGAATCCTGACCATATCTAGCTTTGGTAAATCAGAGAATTTCCTATGTATACAAGTATACCCATTTACAGAAGTCCCAAATAGAAAAAAAAAAAAAAATTACATTGATAACTCAGGAAGGAAATGTACTATATTCAAGTAGTTTCCTGAAAACTTTACCAACGTGGATAAGATAACGGTAGACAACATCTTGATAGCGACCACTATGGTAATACCACGTTATTAAAGGTCTGACGTAGTTCCTGCTGTTAAAGCGGTATTAACATTGGCCTTAGAGAATAAGTGCTATGAGATGCACCTCAGATTGCCAAACAAACACAACAAAATCATTAACTTACCACTGGAACATATGGGAGGATTATGTCAAACGAAAATACTCTTTATGATGACATTTTTACTGGTTTGTAGTTTATGTGCCTCTCCTTTAACTCTTGTTCTTTTTGTATATGCAACGGTTTATATACTATGTATCGCCAGTGCATGTAAAATGCTTTTACACCTTATTTGACACTACATAATGTTTTTCATAAAGCATATGTTATCAACTTTATAATGGATGGATAATTCCTCCCCCCTGTTTCTTTTGGTTTGTTTGAGTTATATGTATTATTTATTCCATATATTTCAATGTTTTACAATGATTATTGTTAAAAATGAAAACTTTTCACTAAAACAAATTTGACAAGAATTGCCTGTGTGGTCAGAATTTGGTAGTTTTCACCGGATTTTGTCCATTTGGAATCAGACTATCGTCATTGGATGTATTGTAATTACAGACACTCCTCACTTACCGACCGGGTTCTGTTCTTACGACCAGGTCGTAAAAAGAATTGGTCAGTAAGTGAGGTGCGTGCGCACCAGTGCAGGTCTATGTCCAGGGTAGTTTCCCAGAACATAGATTAGAGGGATTCCCTGCTGTAGTGCGTATGTCTAAGTTCAGGGAAATTTCACAGCAGAGCATGGAATCCCTCAAATTCATTGAACGTAGACATACGCACCAGAGCAGGGAATCCCTCTAATCTATGTTCGGGGAAAATTCCCGGAACATAGACCAGCTCTCTAACGTGAATCCTAATGCTAGAGAGCTGGTCGTAAGTGCGAGTCATCGTTAAACAGGTAGGTCACAAAGTGAGGACCACCTGTATTATTGTTTTGTGGCAAGGAAAATTGTGCAGAGGTTTAGGGGAATGCGAGAACATAAAAGATTGGGTCTAAAAAGGTCCTAATTAGAGGACTAGAGAGCTTTGTAATTAAACCTTAACTTGGGCCTCACAAAGTCTATAGTCTGATTATACATATAATGTAAAATGGGAAACCATTAATCTATTTTTAGTCTTTGCTCTCTAATGGAAGTACAGGTTACAACAACAGGTTACTCCTAGCATGGGCTAAAAGAAATGTCATGTACTTTGAGATACACACCATTTTATTAAATGCAGGGTAATTTTTGTTTCACTGTTTCTTTAAATCTAATACTGCAGATTCTCATGTAATGAGTAACATTGTAAAAATGCAAACGTGTAAGAACTGAAAATGAAAGAGGTATCCAAATACATTCAGTGTTCAAGGGGATTTTTTTCCCAGTGAACAATTTCTTTAATTCTCAAATGGATAGATACACCAGACATTCTTATATTTGCTTGTTCACTAGAGAGATAATTGCCTGAAATTCAAACTGCACTTTTACATTTTAGTTTAAAATAGGCAAACAGGAATAATACTGCAAGCCAACTATATTTGGCCTAAAAAAAAATTTCATTTATATTGCAGACAATTAACATGTTTGTAAATACCCCTGTATGTGTACAGTCTTTACTTGGGTGACCTCATAACTATAACCCCAAGTTACATATCCTGGTTCTACATGGGGAGATATTTAAAGAGCTACTCGAAGTTCTATAACCATTTCAGTATTTTGAAGTGTTCATGGTGCTTAGAGCCTGTATGGGCAACGTTTTTAAGAGATGCACATAGAGTTATGCTGGAGGTGTAACTCCACCTTCGGCAGTGTCATTAGCCAGCCTGGAATGAGAGTTCTGGGTTGGCTAGTGCCAATTCTGTGCATGTTGGAAATCTGTCGTCACCATGCATATCACCAGAGGAGGATCAGGCTGTAGGGAGAACTTGAGGACAGTGTAAGGTAGATTTTTGCTTTACTCGTTTATTTTATTTCTTTACAGGGTAAGGGGACAATACTAACATTGGTGAGTAAACGCCAACAAAATAGGAGAATTAGGATAAACTATAAGGCTAAAGTTATTTGGGTCCTATGAATGGTAAAAGAACAGGACAGATTGGCCAAGGTTATTACCTGTTGTCACACACCTACTTGCTGTGCTCGAAACAGTCCCTTGTATAAGAATCATTTTGCCAGGACAGAGACCCCCAAAAATTGTGCAGACATAGGGAACAATCTGCAAATATAACCAAAGGACAGTCACATAATGCATGCAATAACAACATACACCATTAAATGAACCCGCAAATAGACATCTTAATGTGTACTTGTCAAGGTACATACACCATATATATTTTTTTTTAAAGTAAATTAATAAAATGTGATGTAGAGACATTTTATTAGTGTCAGGAGAATTACAAGCAAATGTATTCTTAAAATCTAATTTTGAGCATTTCATAAAGATAAACTTTACATGAAATCTTAATAAACTATACTGTAATTTTATTGAAATACCAATGCAGTCAAAAATATATGAGACAAAACAGGGATGCTAAAGTTTTACAAAACTTGACCAAATGCGGAACTACCGCAGTCAAGTTTTGTCACGTCACGTCTGTGGGAACAAGGCAATAGCTTGCTTATTGTGATATTATATCTATTGAGGATCCCAGAGTCTTGCAGGGACCTCCATAAATATCAGTGCTGTACTCTCGCACATGTTTGAGTACAGCACTGCTATGGGCCCCTGAAGATGAAGCACCAGGAGCTGAAGAAATATTGCTACACGAGCAGGGGACAGCATTAGGTAAGTACAACTCACCTCAGGTGCACTTTCAGGCCAGCGCATACCAAGCAGCGTTGTCACCATTAGGGGTCTTTGCAAAAACCACAGAAGGTGACAGAACCGCTTTAACACAACTACATGATATCTTTGCAATGAATATTCCTGCAATGAACAGGTCTCCTTGTAGGGTCTCCAAAATGTGCTTGCGATTGGGTTGGCAGTGGCACTGCTGGTAGTGCACGGACATGACACAAAGTCAAATCCACAAATACGCCATCCACATGGGGTATACAATCTGAATAGGATAGGGAAAAGTGAGCAATCAAATCTGTTAATACAAGCAACGTTGTCTGAGCCCAGGGTCCTACGCAGTTGCCTAAGGCTACCTAATTGGTAATCTGGCTATACACAAATATATTTTGAAATTTTTTTTTTTTTATTTTTTTTTTTAAAGGAGTCTCTCAATACTAAACAGTATAAAGGGATGAGTATTGCATTAGAGTGAAAGCATTCTCTGTCTACACATTTCAGAACATTCCAGCATATCAGGAATGAAACTCATCCAGCATGTTAATAAATGTTTAAACAAATGCCAATGTCATTACCATCAGATCTCTTTAAGCAAGTGCAGGTCACCCTCCATGCCTCACACATACTTGCCCTGCATGCCAATGGTCGTAAATAGCAGTGCTTTATAAGCAAGGATGCCCCCCTCCCTCCCTCTGCAGTACCAGCAGCAATAGCTCTAATCATGCTTAGCCAGCCTGCAGTAATTTAGCATACTGGCAGTGACACAACACTGCACTGTAAAAGAGAGTGCAGCTTATTTATACATAGTGCTCTGTCCCTTTGGTACTATTTCAGCTCCTGATACACACAACAACCCCCTCTCCTGTATCCAGCTAGTCAGGGCATATTTAGAGATATTGATACATAGTTAACCCTCCCCTAGGCCCTGACACCCCACACACCGGATGGTAAACAGGCGGCTGCAGCAGAAAGACACCAGGGTCCATTTCTGTGTCCGTACAGGAGATGATAATGATGAATCACAAGGAAAGGGGTGGGTGCTGTTAAAAACTAGCTCAGCCTATCAGCCCGCCTCTTCCATTTAACCTCCTGCACCCCACAGCACTGCCTGCATGTTGGGGATCTTAATATATTACTAGCCTTTACATGTATCCCACGCCTGCATAGGTGTTCATTGTCAAATGTCCTGCTGCAAAAGGAATTGCACTAGGTGTTATTTTAAAGAAACAGACAAAATAAATACCTATATTATCGCAAAATTCAAGAGTAATACAGATACTCCCATTATAAATACTGAGGGAATAAGCACAGACTTGAGAAACGTTGATTTAAACTCTATGAACCAACTATATAAACATAGCTACCATGTTTAACCCCTTCCTGTACAAGGCCATCAAAACATGTACCCCCTCTTCCTGCCAAAGGTTTGACTGAAACATTGTTACACAACTGTTCACAGAGTTCAGTAGAGCAAACTCTATCCCGTTCCAGAATAGAACCCATCTATGACCACACCCTATTGAGGTTAACATCTCCTCCTATGTACACAGAGTGTATGAATTCACTGCTGATTGCAATGCCCTGCCCATGGTTGGATATGTCTTTCTTAGTTGCCAAGTGATGACTAAATTATTAGTTATTTTTCCATTCACCATTCTTTATAAAGAAACAACCAGACACACAGTAACTGCTAGATTTCCATTATAAAATCAGAGACTGAAAAATACTGACAATCGTTCAAACGGTTTACCTAAAATTATACAAAAAAAACAACAACAAAGATTTACAGCAGGCTTCCTCAAACTCTGGCCCTCCAGATGTTGCTGAACTACAACTCCCATGATTTTATGAATGAAATAGATAGGCTGAGAATCATGGGAGTTTTAGTTCAGCAACATCTGGAGGGCCGGAATTTGGGGAAGCCTGATTTACAGGGTAATTCACTAATGTGAGAATTCAAAGTGAATTTCCAATTTGAGGTAAAATAAAAATAGTGGACACATTGTCTAAGCCAGCTATGCTTTCAGTTTGGCTACTCTGGCCTTAAATTCTAAATTCACTTTAAAGGACCAGTATAGGCACCCAGACCACTTCGGCTTAAAGGACCAGTATAGGCACCCAGACCACTTCAGCTTAAAGGACCACTGTAGGCACCCAGACCACTTCAGCTTAAAGGACCACTATAGGCACCCAGACCACTTCAGCTTAATGGTCTGGGTGTCAGGTCCAGCTAGGGTTAACCCTTTTTTTTTTTGCTATGTTTAAAAATGGGTTAATCCAGCCTCCAGTGGCTGTCTCTTGACTGCCGCTAGAGGCGCTTGCGTGCTTCTCACTGAGATTTTCACTGTGAGAAGATGCCAGCGTCCATAGGAAAGCATTGTGAATGCTTTCCTATGGACTGGCTGAATGTGCGTGCAGCTCTTGCCGCGCATGCACATTCAGCCAAAGAGGAGGAGAGGAGAGGAGGAGGAGAACTCCCCGCCCGGCGCTGGAGAAAGAGGTAAGTTTAACCCCTTCCTCTCCCCAGACCCTAGCGGGAGGGGGACCCTGAGGGTGGGGGCACCCTCAGAGCACTATAGTGCCAGGAAAACGAGTATGTTTTCCTGGCACTATAGTGGTCCTTTAATGAAGTGGTCTGGGTGCCAGGTCCATCTAGGATTAACCCTGCCTGCTGTAGTTTACATATTGCTATGTTTACATATTGGTTAATCCAGCCTCTGGTGGCTGTCTCACTGATTTTCACAGTGAGAAGACACCAGCGTCCATAGGAAAGCAATGAGAATGCTTTCCTATGGACTGACTGAATGCGCTCTCTTGCCGCGCATGCGCATTCACCCGAAGCCCGGTGTTGGAGAAAGGTAAGTGTTTAACCTCTTCCTCATGCTAGAGCCCGGCAGGGGGCACCCTCAGGGCACTATAGTGCCAGGAAAACAAGTTTGTTTTCCTGGCACTGTAGTGGTCCTTTAACACCTTAAGGACCAAACTTCTGGAATAAAAGGGAATCATGACATGTCACACATGTCATGTGTCCTTAAGGGGTTAAATTCACCTCAAATTCTCACTTCGGTGAATAACTGACATTATTTGACTGCAGGCAATCTACAACATGTCTGCACCACTTGAGTTCATTATGCTTGTATTAAATCTTATTGCTTAGACTATATATAGCATTTTTATATAAATTTATGCATACTATACCTCAAAGAAGGGACTGCAAACTACAGAGAAGGAAGATTTGCTCAAAGTGTAAAGCCATAGTTTGCTGAGGGAGACAGAATGATTAGGACTAGCCCAGTCTGCACTTTGAGCACTCTGCCTGCCTAGCAGTAGCGAGGAGAGTTGATGGCCATTATCAGGATTTCAGGGGCAGATGATTAAGAATAAAATGTTAGCTTCTTAACAGCTGCCAGGCCCGGACTGGCCATCGGGCATACCGGGCAAATGCCCGGTGGGCCGCGATGGCCGTGGGGCCGAGGCCGGCAGGGAGATCACAGGATCTCCCCTGCCAGCCCGTGCAGGGCCAGCGCTATCCGAGCGCCAGCCCTGCATAGTGCCTCCACGGGCCGGTGGGGAGATCACAGATCTCCCTCACCGGCCCACAAGAATGGAGATGCGGCCGCCGGCTGGGTGAGGGAGGGAGGGAGGACCCGGCGGAGCTCTAACAAGCAGCTCCGCCGGGTCCTCTCGCGGGATTCTGAGCGTTGCCGCGGCAACGCTCAGCTCTCGCGAGAGTGAACTCTAACCCGCAGGTTAGAGTTCACTCTCACCACTGGACCACCAGGGAAGCATGCGAGAACGGATCTCCTCCCCCCCTCCCAGGATAAAGGTAAAAAGGGAGGGGAGGGGGAAACACATAACTTTTTTTTATTTTTTATATTAATAAATAAAAAAAAATTATTTAAAATAAATTCCCTAATAGCCCCCTCACACACACAGCACACCCCAGACACCCACAGCACACCCCAGACACCCACACAGCACACCCCAGACACCCACACAGCACCCCCCAGACACCCACAGCACACCCCAGACACCCACACAGCACCCCCCAGACACCCACACAGCACCCCCCAGACACCCACAGCACGCCCCAGACACCCACAGCACCCCCCAGACACAAACAGCACCCCCAGACACACACAGCACCCCTGACACACACAGCACCCTCAGACGCAGACAGCACCCTCAGACGCAGACAGCACCCTCACTACCACACACACACACATATATATATATATATATATATATATATATATATAATAACCCTCAGTGAGTTAACAGACAAAGAAAATTAGAAACCTAGAATGTGACGGCAGATAAAAACACCCTCACACTGCGCACCTCACACATACAATACGTCCAAATATATTCTAAATATATATATACACACACACACTACAGCACCCCTCACACTGCACCACTACACACATAACGCTCCAGATACACGCTAGATCCCTTACCCTATATGCACTCTTAATCCTCTACACACACACACACACAATCTTCTATACACACTCTGGGTCCTTTACACACACACACTACATTCCTTGTAAGCAAACACATACAACATTCTCTAAACACACCCTCTCTACAACCCCTACACACGCTACGTCACCTATACACACACACTACTGCCCCTATACACGCACTCTCTACAACCCCTAGCCACATATTACACCACAAAATTGACCTATTTACACAATACCACACCACACTCTACACACACGCAATCCCACAAGCATGCTCCAAACACATGCACCATACACTTTCCTGGCCCTTTTGTCCTCTGGTATCCCACTTGTGGAGACACCAGAGACAATTTAAAAGCAAACACAGCGCAAGCATGTTATTACATTTGCTTGCGCTGCGCAGAACAAATTCAGGGCCTTTTTCTAATGCTAGAGCTCTTCAGCGGGGCTCTGTGCATTGAACCAACATGCTCACTTTGAGAGGGGGCGTGTTGTCATTAGTGATGACAAAACACACCCTCTCTGGCCCCGCCCCCTTCTTGGGGGGCCGCTCTAATTGAAAAATGCCCGGGCCTAATTTTTTTCCCAGTCCGGCCCTGACAGCTGCTAAGTAGTGATGTCCCGAACAGTTCGCCGTGAACGGTTCGCCACGGACTCATCATTGAGTAAACTTTGATCCTGCACTACACAAGCTCCATAGCCAAATCCACCTAGTTGGCAGCAATCATCAGCAGTACAGGAGAGCAGGCAATACATCCCAAAGGTCATAGTCACATGGCAGGAGGCTGGCAATCAGTCTTCTCCAATGCCCAGTGGCGAGGCTGGTTCCGCCACATGCTGGTAACAAAAGTGGGTACACCCCTAAGTGGAAATGTCCAAATTGGGCCCAAAGTGTCAATATTGTGTGTGGCCGCCATTATTTTCCAGCACTGCCCTAATCCTCGTGGGCATGGAGTTTACCAGAGCGTCACAGGTTGCCACTGGAGTCCTCTCCCACTCCTCCATGATGACATCACAGTGCCGGGGGATGGTGCTGGTTAGAGACCTTGTACTTTGAGAATGCCCCACAGATGCTTAATAGGGTTTAGATCTGGAGACATGCATGGCCAGTCCATCACCTTTACCTTTAGCTTCTTTAACAAGGTAGTGGTCTTGCAGGTGTGTTTGGGGTCGTTATCATGTTGGAATACTGCCCTGCGGCCCAGTCTCCGAAGGGAGGGGATCATGATCTGCTTCAGTATGTCACAGTACATGTTGGCATTCATGGTTCCCTCAATGAACTGTAGCTCCCCAGTGCCAGCAGCACTCATGCAGGCCCAGACCATGACACTCCCACCACCATGCTTGACTGTAGTAATCCATGTCCTTAGTCTGCTTGTCTTCAGCAAACTGTTTGTGGACTTTCTTGTGCATCATCTTTAGAAGAGGCTTCCTTCTGGACTGACAGCCATGCAGACCAATTTGATGCAGTGTGCAGCGTATGGTCTGAGCACTGACAGGCTGAACTCCCACCCCTTCAACCTCTGCAGCAATGTTGGCAGCACTCATACGCAGTGGGGTACACACAATCCATGGGGCCCCGGTGTGAAACAGATCCATGGGGCCCTCCCTCTCATTGCCCCCCCCCACAGACACACACACACA